CTCTCTAAACCTGATAAACGTAATGTTACATTTCAAACGTTAGAGGATTTCTAGAGAAAATAGAACAAATTGGACGAAAATACAATATTAGAACTGTCATCAGTTCAACAACGATTCTGAAAAATAGCTATCAAAAACAAGATGCAAAAATTAAAAGAGAAGGAAAAACTATAGACAAAGAGACCATTGGATATTAGAATTGCAGAACACTAAACATTGAAGAGGATAAACCTTCAAATCGAGAACAGGTCAACATGTATGGGATATACAACACAGAATATCTATAATGGTCAGACGCAAAAATATCTGACAAAGGTAAACATTGGAGAAAGAGAAAGTTTAGAGAACCAGGATAACGTCTTATGGGAGGAAGGAGCAACATCTTCAGTAAATCAACAGTGAAACTTCCAAGAATTCGGAAATCAATCCCGAACTAAATAAAGCACGTCCCATAAGAGTTTAAACTAGAATAGTTTATCGTCATTATTCATTTTATCATTATAATGGCTCACCAACGCTGATTCTAGGAAATTCACGCTCATCACGACAGGCATTACATTATGTCATAATTTGCTTGGAACTTTTAACTTTTATTTCAGGTACTATTTTCTACTGAAAACTGCGTACAGGGTGTCCAAATTTGGATGGTTTTAATAGGAAACATCAATTTCTGAGCGAGATACAAAAAAAATGAACCCCCCACTTCGAGGCTCAAATTTCATAAAATCTTGATTGGTGCAAACCGCATTTTGATATCTTCAACCGTTTAGCCGCTGGAGGGCATTTCTCGATTTTGAGCAGTAGTGTGAAACCTTCATAACTTTTTTGTTTATGAAAATAATTGATTTCCGTAGAACTTTCTAGAATCACTTTCTCAAGCAGAATTCAGTGACGTTTTCAGTTTTTTTCTATTGAGCCCCGATTTCGAGATATTAACCAAAGTCCGATTTTTTTATTTTTTTTTTTAGAAAATATTGTTCCAAATGACATTTAGGAGTAGTTTATAAACAAACAATTTGAAATTTCAATTTGAGAAATCTAAAATTTTCAAAATAGTCCAGAGGAGTATCAAAATTTTAATAGAAATATTTCTTTTTGATATTTAAACTCTTAATTAGATTATCAAGATTTAAAAAACCATTAGTCAGATACAAACTAATTATTTTAGAGGAATGGTCGCGAAAGAAATCCTAAAAATATTATTTTTCTGTAGATATTCGAAATTTAAAAAAAAAAACTTTTTTTTTTCAAAGTAAAAATATCTAATTAGACTAAAAATGTCATTTGGAACAATATTTTCTTATATTTGTTCATATTTTTTATAAAAATGCCACTTTTCCTTGTTTGAAATTTTCAAATGGCATTTGACAGGTGTGAGGTAAGTCTCGAGTCAAAAATTTTAGGTGTTTTTTTTGGTTTTTAGTCATGCAGAACCTAATACCGAAAACTGATTTGAAGTAAGGATGAGCATAAAAAAAATTCCCATAGGGTGCAGACATTTCCGCGGGCACTGTATAGTTTTGTAAGTTTTTGCTGCTAGTGAAGGTGATTGAAACATAATAGCAGGACTACTTCTAAGTTGCCCAATTTTTAAATTGGTAAATAATAGCAGCAATTAAACTTGATCACTTAAATATTACTTAGACGTGGCATTGCTCTTAAAGTGGGTGTTATAGTTTTAGCGTGTTTTTTTCCACCTCAACTATACCTTCAAGGTGGCACCATTTGATCATATAACTGATGTAGTGGTTACCACGTTTTTGCTACGCGCGTAAGTAATTTCCACGTGAAACCGCCACTTCAAAGTGGCAGAAAATTTCTCAAGGTCGGTTCCACCTACCACTCGATTGATGAACGCAACTATAGAGTGGAAGCCATCTTTGTAAACATTTTTGGGGTCGCCTTTGAAACATATAAGCCGTTTTCGGAAAGTGGCATCCGATTAAGGGTGGATTTTCATGCATCCGTTTATCCGACGAAATATGTCCGAAAAATCTTCTATTTTGACATCTTTCGTCGGACAAACGGATGCATGAAAATCCACCCTTATCGGTTCGATCGGATTTTTGGTTATGTGTTATCTTTATTTCATGTTTTGTTTTCCTTCTTCAAGTTTTGTGTTTGAATCTTGTGATTTGTTGTGTTTGGGGTGACTGCAGTGTCTTTGAAAAGTCAAAGGTAAAGACTTAACTTCAAATCGTTGAAGAAAAACAATTCATTGAGAAAAACAAACGCGGGTGACGGCAATCGTCGATCCCAATCGTTCGGAAACGTTGAATAATCTACTCTGAAAACGAGCTAAACCGCGATCAGCTGATATTAACCTACTCAATCAAGGATTTACATTTCCGGAAGCAGCTTTTTAGGGCCGCATATGAAACATTTCAAAAGCGCGTGCCATATTTCGAGCTAAAACACCTATAATTCACAGTAAATTCTCAATCGATCTGAGTTTTTGCCTTCCAGCTCTCAGAGTTTTCCTAATTCAATTTCCTTGTGTTTGCCTGTCATAATAGCTCTGTTCCAACCGACATAAGAACCGTTCGAGAGCCAGTAATTTCCAGTTGCCCACCTAATTTTCAATAAGTTGAACGTTTATCCTACCAACAAATGAATTGATCGAAATTATTGTTCTAGAACGGTTCTTATGTCCGCTGGAACAGAGCTAATTATTATTATCCATTACATAGAATTTAGGCTGTCAGTTATGTCGAATTAGAGGAAGAGTCGGAAAAGTGGAAAAGAAAGAGACCGAGATACAATTAATAACCAAAAAAAGACAAGCGCATTGAGCGAAGTTTTCCGTTCAATGTCGGCCACCACTCCGCCATGTTGAAACGTGGCTGTCTCCGAAAATTTGTTCCCCATTTTGGTAACTACCACGAAGTAGAACCGTGTCTATAACTTGGCAGAAACTTTGGCAGTACACTGCAAAGTTTCTAAAGATTGTGCTCGCCACGTTTCAACCACTAAAAATACTACTTGGGATGGAGCAGGCGTTGGCAACTCTGCTGGATAAGACGCAATGTAACCAACATGGCATGGCGATAATGAAATTTGAATTAAATTTAATTTCACAGCTACAGTTTAAACAATTTTGGTGAGATGGAAAACCAATATGAGAAAATTTAATGAATTTATCAACAGGCCGATGTTTTAACATTTTTTTCCCAATTTCTTATTGGTTACATCTATGGCATGAATGTCATCTATCAGGTGATTCATGACGTGCGTTGCTATAAATAGAATTTTTTTTCTGGGTAATTGAAGCATTTCATGATTCTAGGGATTTCTCGACTGAAAATGTTTTGGTATATAGATAGCGTGGTTTGTGGTACGAGAATTTTTACTCGACCAGGAACAACCCATGGAAGATGTAAATGTTCGCCAAGAAGTTGAAGAAATAGATACTCAGTGTTCGAAATAAAATTAAAAAGTTGCATAGTGACTTGAGATCAGGAATTGCCTCGGCTTTGCTGAAGCACTCGTGTTATGGCTACAGGCTTGATTGTAGACACACTGAGGAAAACCAACTATTTAAAATACTATTTCTTCAAATTTTAACTTTTTAAAAAAACTGAATAAAAGTAAATGTTGCAACCTTGTATGCGCCGTGAAACGTACTGAAAGGGTAGCTACCGAACGGGAGATAGAGAATACGCAACTAGACTGGAGAACAAGCTGGGCTGGTCCCTTAGACGCGTGTCTGTAATTATTCATTATTCAATTTTTATTTTTATTTTGCATTAAACTGATTGTTCAATCCAATTTGTTATTAGTGTGTGTGTCAAAGAGCAATCACAGATCAATTGAATAATTGTTATTTTGTTTTGAGAGTTCAATTATTTATACAAGTATCATTTTTTTCATTTTTATGTTTTTTGTTTGTTTATAACATTTTTTAGAACATGTGCATTGTTCATGTATTTAACAAAAGTCGTTTCATGATGTAAACAACACAGATAAAGGAGTAAGTTAAAACCTAAGAAATTATGTGCTGTCTTTTTGTGCTGAAATGTTTGATTTTGTGTATTCAAGACGTGCATCAGGGCCTTGTTGAATTTACTAAAATTTTCCTACCCTGACGAGAAATATCCTATCAAACAGAGGAAAGAGATATTGGCTCAAAATAACAACTATAGCTGAGTAGCATCCCGTATGGGACCTCAGTACCTGCCGGCAGACCGGCTAACTAACCAAAAATTCTTCAGTATTGAATATAGGTAGTATTGATTGAATGTAATAATGTGTGTAATTAAAATGTTAGCACAAGAACAGGGGCGGTACCTAATTTAAACTACAACACTTATTAGAGACTGTTCCGCCAGTTTCCCAACAAAAAAATTGTGCCCTTGTTTCTTCATTAGAGCGTCATTATGGGGCAGTTTTATTAGGCAAGATAACAGAAAGCTGAGGGAAGTTTACAAGAATTTGAAACCGATATCCGTTGTGTGGTTAATTTAGCCTACCGGGAAGCAGCAGCCGGAATACGAGGACATCTAACGGATCAATGGAATTAGAGGGATGGATGTACCTATGTACATACACAGATGCGGCTGATAACCAAACTATCAAGTAGCATCGAAGTTCTAATCAAAACTTTAGAAATCAAAGCGGTTCATGAGATGTCCGGGATCAGAGCTGTGTCGATTCGAGAAGGAAAAGAGCCAATAGAAGAAATTGCAACAGCACCATTTTCAAATTAAACATCTTTTCAACGTTCTTCTAACATCGCAAATACCTTATCCATGCCGTCATGCCCAGCACAAGGCTCAAGGCAAACCATGTATCAGAATCAAACAGTTCCTTTTGCGTTCTATTTGAAACCGATCTAAAATGGAGCTCTGAACAGCTCAGAAGTAATCCGTATGAATCTAGAGATTTCATGATTTAATGGTTATCGTTATCTATATAAAGCGCCTAGTTTGTAGTCCCAAAGAAAATCCCTGGAATTTTTTTCCAATAATAATAACACACAAAGCTTTAGACTAGAAAATTTATTAATGTATCACTAATAAATATAAAAATATTCACATTATAATAAGGTTTTTTTTCCTAGTACTTAGGTAGATACCTAGATATAACAAATAATTAATAAGTAAGTAGTACCTATAATCATAGGTATGTAATAACACAGCACGCAATAAGGGATACCTAAACGGCAAAAATGAAAACACAACTCAATTATAACAAAAGTCTGTATGTTTGAGGTGGATTTATAATATTACCTTGCATTGCGTATTACTAAATTACATTTAGTAATACGTGGCTTCCTTTGCTTGAATCAGAAGTAAACCAAGGTAAATTGAAAATTAATTAAAAATCTCACCTTTAGAAAATACCACCATTTCCTAGATATGATTATTGTCAAAAGTTTGACACGACATTAGTCAAATTTGTAATTTTTGCTTGATAACTCAAATTCGAGTATTCAAACAATTTTACGAAAAAACCGAACAATTTTCTGCCTTTTTTATTTTTTAGGTGTTCCATCCCCCAAGCTTCGACAAGGGTAGCAGATTTGGTACCGAAACGTCAGCAAAAAATCCAGAACTCATACCACCGAGCCTAATCAAGTATTATATTATTAAAATAATAAAACTCGATTCGCTTATAAAAAGTCGATTCGAGTAATTTATTTTATAAAAATATTCTGATAGGTAAAATTGCTCTAATCAGAGAGCTTGTAGTAATTCGTATCAAAATCAAGAAACTTCTGGTATTAATTTCAATTGAGGTGTAAGTCCCAAAAAATGCAAGGTAAAATTACAACTCAATTAAGCATTTTATTTCTAATAATTTGACTGTTGATGATTAAATTATAGCGACAACTAATTGATCAACTTCGCATGTAATTAAGTTGAAAATATATTAATTCAAAGACATTTAAAAAAAACACTAATTAGCGAGTAACATTTTATAACAGTATGTTAAAGATAACATATTCAGACGTTATCTTTACTTAGACGCGAATAAGTGATTGAACTCCCGGTTGTAAAAGTTCTCATCGCTTGTAAATTAACGCTAAAGTGTTGGGACGTGATCAAGTTTGCAATATGTGTCAAATTTAATCTATACTTGAGCTTGGAACATGGTGATGAGTTTTCATTTTTGCTTGATGCATTAAACAAGCAATAATAATTGAAGTAGATACCTTACAATAATATCTAAAACAACTTTTAAGTGAAAATAAAGATAAAAGTTTATTGCATTTTATGCAATCAATCAAACTTGAAAACTAAATTTTTATAGTTAAGTAGCTATATTATAATAAGCGTGTTTCATCAATTTTCTCAAATTTACATTTTATATAATTTCCTACGTTTATTAAGCAGGTATACTACATACGTGTTAAATTTATCATATTTTTGGTAGAGATGAACCTATTATCAAATTATTCAAATTTCTTTGTTGTTTACATTTATTGGTACACAAAAATAAATGGATCCATAAAAAAATGGATTGTCCTAAAAATTTTAACATACACGGTGTTTGAAGTCTTAACAATCTTTGAATTTGGATTTTAAATAATTGTTTGGTGGGTCAGTTTAGTTGTTAGTTTGCTTCAAAAGCAGCCGAGGCTTTGGAACTAATAGGAATTATTTAAACAAATTATATGTACGTATAACAGAGAAGTATTAAAACAGTGTCATATTTGAAAAATCCAATTTAACTATGAAGGAAGTCGAGAGTTTGGAGTTATCTAAAAAGAATTAAAACCACAATATATTTCAAAATACTCAGGAATAAATATGTGAAAAACTGAATCATTATAGGAAAAAAAATCTTTTACAATTATCTCTTTCTGTTATTATTATGAATTTAATCCCTAAGATCCAACAAACACATTTTTAAGTTAATCAATATAGTACAGTATTTGCATTGATACGCGATGCCAATTTAGTACAGTCATACAAGGATTCATCCTTAGGATTCATCTACTGAAAAAATCCGAGTTGGCCTAAATTTTGTCTACACCTTTATTTTACCTCAATAATTAATGTATTGAAAGTCCCCACCGATATCTTGTTTGCGTTCAAAGATATTCAAGGTCAAATATCACAGAAATGAGTTTTTCCTAAATATTTTGCTTTCGGTATGTCCTACGACTATTTTGGCTAAAAATATTGGGAAATTCTCTTCAGAAAATGTTATTCGCATATTTTACGTCATACCAACCGTTTCCACCTGATACGCCAGAAAAACAGAGGGTAGCACCCGTTTCCACACCACTCCAGAGGTGAGATGCAAGGCGCGTTTTTTTTACATTGTATTTTTACTGTAGGCCCAATCCATGATCTTTCTTGTTGTGATTTTTAGATGTAGAATGTGCGATCTTCATTCTCGTATTCTGCCCCCTCTTCCACGACGTACAAATGTTAACATTAAACACAGCAGAGGCCCCTAATGTATTTGGTGTTAACATTTGTACCGTTCAGTTCTGGCTCCGAAATACCGCGCCCCGTACCGAACAGAGTTGGGTAGTGGGTAGACTGATCAGGACAAGTCCCGGCTGTACAGACAAGTTCAGCAGGATAGTCGCAATCCTTATGTCCTAGTTGAACGTACGGACATAGATCAGTTATACTTTCTACCCCGCTGAGACACGCGATTCTGAATTTGTCGCTAGAAGCTTTCGGGGACTGGTGATGAACCTAGAACTTATTTCTTCGATAGTTGTTTTATTCCTTTATCTGCGCATTGGTCCCTGATTTTTCTTTTTGACTGTAACAAGCTACCTAGTGCTAGTGGGCCCTGAACCACTATAATCTTGATGGTGGCGCCCGAGATTACCGCTGGATTAACCAAAAGATAAATACCGACTGTTAAGCTACCACAGCTCAAGGAAAAACCTAGGAAAACCCGTTAAAAATTTGGCGCCCGAGCATGGACCATTTTGCGCATCAGCAACTGACCATAAAGATTACGTCATCATCCGTCCCCCGTTTCACCAAGAGGCCGTTTATTTTGGTATCGACCGATAGGTTGACCGTTACAACATGGTATATTTCTTCATGGATCCTTCAGAAACAACGGCGCTGCTTGGTTACTATTTTAATAAGCCACATAATGTGAAGCGTGTTGTGGCCATCTATTGTGTAGACATTGATATCTGCATTGTCTGCTGAATACTGAATAAGAGCACCAGTTTCAAATATCTGGTTGTGGATGGTAGACAGCAGCAACTTCATACATTAATGTTTCTCTATACGACGCGCTGAATCCAAGAGTTGGTAAAATATCTAGAAAAGGTTAGATGTGAAGGATCTTGCACGTATCGTAGCGATAATAGCATGACAAATAGCGGTACACTTACACTTACAATTAAGATGGTCAGTTTTGCCTTTTTTTTTCAGAATTAATTCTTCAGTAAAGTATGAAAGGCTCTGTAGGATATTTTCGTTAAGATTATGAAACATTCTACTAGGAGGAGGATAAGATTGACAATCAACAGTCATGAAACGAATGTCTTCTCTGATAATTTTGGTCATAGTTTGTACAATTGGAAGGCGTTCTTTTGCCGGTTGAGATTTCTTATTTTCATACCAAGCTTTACTGAAAATATCACTTTGAGTATCGCGGAAACAAATCATGGTCAAAAAGGAATGAAGTTTTGTCAGTTACAACAACCGAAAAGCGTGGAAATTGAAATTGAAAGCTAAGGAAAATTGGAGGATTGGAAATTTTGGTCCTGGCCGGGATTCGAACCCGCACGTCCCCAGCATTGCCGGTGCTACGCTCTAACCATCTAAGCCACCATGACCCTACAAATCTTTTTGATTGGTGTTGTAAGAGGAAGTTGCGTGGTTCTCCGCTCATTGTCAAACCTCTAATCAACATTGATATTTCTTAGTTTTTTTTTGTCTCTGTTTCCTCGTTGGCTTCTTCACCATAAAAAAAACGCAGAGTTTTTAAATCAAAAGATCCGAAGCTAGAGCGTGTTTTGCGAAGAAAATACTGAGATGTACCGGCAGCATCGTCATCTCGTCGTCTTTTAGATGACACTATGCTACTCCCCTAGAACTTAGAACACCAACCTCCAATTCGAGGATTAATGCGAGTTTCCCTTACGACGAACTGGGTTTTCCGAAAACCTTATTTCGCGCCCGAAGGATTTAATCGTTGGCTCTCTCTTTTCTTTCTTCGTGTTCGTAAGCAGCTCGCACCAACAATACTTGGGGGGCTCGTCCATTGGCCGCCTAAAGCAATCCCGATAGTAAGGGGACCCACGCAAAGTATTGTCAGCCTGATACGCGATCCAAGTGCTGTGTAAGCGAGTCACCACACTTCTGTCGAGAAAAATGAGGGGACTTTTAGATGCTACTATGTATACACCTTGCAAGAGTTTTTATGTACTGTTACCGAATCTGTATCCCTTAAACCTTCTGCAAGATCATCTTCTCTTTCCACACTTGCTTCTCCTAAAGCATCTATACCGCGTTTTACAGTCACTGTAACACCTTTCAAAAGCGATTGACTGCAAATAAAACAAGACTAATCCATCGCGATGGCTAATTAAATCACAAAACGAAACGTGTAGACTTTTTGCCAAATAGATTTGAACTGACTTACATTGATTGAATGCGATTAACCGGTCGATCATAGTTGACAGATAACCAATGAAGAAAATTACGTTTGGCAACCAATCGTATTTAAATGACGTTCATGACTTTTGACCTTGAATGTCTGAAAACGCAAGTGCGGTATTGATGGGGACTTTTAAGACATTATTTCTTGAAGTAAAATAAAGGTGTAGACAAAATTTAGGCTAACTCGGATTTTTTCAGCAGATGCTGCTTTTTCCGGCCTGATATAACTGGAGTAATTATCACTACCGTTGCTCTTGAACCATATTAGAATCACTAACATTCATTATTCCACCATTGACGACCGAACCTATGGGCATTGCAACAAATTTCGTTTCGCCAGGCCCCTTGATCATTCCCAAAATCATTCCATCCGAAACACTTGCGAAACCCATTCCATTTCCAGTTTGAACGATTAAAGGCACTGGTTTCTCATTTTCTGATATTGCAACAGCTGCTTGGTGTATTGGTGTTGAAATTAATTGTGGTGAAGGTAATGATGAAACTGGAGGTATTGCTGAAGGTAGAATAGGACACGCTGAAGGTGAGAAAGGGAGTGGATTTGTAATTGTTGGAAAGCTTTGTGAAGAATCTGCTTTAGCTTTATTAGATTGAATTAGGGCATCATTTATCTGTTTTAGTTGACTTATTATTGCCGATTGGTCATCCCGTGTGTCTACAGTTTTTGCTTTTTTTGACTCGGACGAAGAAGAATCTGTCGATATTTGTGAATTTTGCGAAGTAGGGTCGCATATTTTCGATATTTTTCTAGGTAGCTCCTCAACCTCCTCTTCTGATAAGTCATCGTCGTATTCTTCGGCATCGCTAGTTGTCTCACAGGCGTTTTCCTGAAACAAAAGAGAATACTTTTGAGAATTCTTTTTTGTATTGGATGGCTTAGTGAAAATGTTAGTTACAAAAATCATGAAATACACAATTGGCAAGGAATTAATCAGTATTAGTTTAGCATTAATTTTTTGGATTATTTTGTGACAAATTGTATATTTTATTTTTTATAGTGATAGTAGCTAGTGTAGATGTTTAAAATCTTCGTGGTGGGAAATATTAAATTTTTTGCGATATTGCCCAGATTATATATTTGAAATTATATTTTGATTCCTTCATTGAAAGACCTATGTTTTTTAAAGATTTCCTATTCAAAGTTGGGTAAAATATAAAGCTGGTATTCTAAGTTTAAACAGTAGGTTAATAATACCATACTAATAAACATGGAACATTCTATAAATCATTAAATCAATAATGGATTGTCTTCAATTTTCAATAATAAAAATTAAAACAAAGTTCAAGCCAGATGCAGAAGCCTATAGGATAATAAACGAGCAGCAATGTTATTACGCAGTTTAAGTAAATGTTATTTTGATTAATAGTTATTCATGCCAAATTTTTATATTTTAAGTAATAGCCTACATACCTCTAAAATCACATATGATAATTATTTTCGTTTGAAATGAAGCAATTTGGTTTGTATATGGGACAAAGTTTCCAAATCTAATGAAATTTTCAAACTTCACTTTTATCAGTTCTCAAGCAAATTTTTTATCTTGATTAAAATTTTGCTAATTATCAATCAATGATTATCTGGACTCGTTTCACTGCAATAGACTTCTTGCACTCAATCGAAATTAGGTATATAATTTATCTGTAACGAAAGTGTATTTTATATACTACATAACAGTATGGTTGGTCAATTTTTTCAAAAATCTTGAAGGCAGAAATTGAAAGAAAAAAAATCAGATTATTTGCACCAATCAAAAATCACTAATTGCCAAATTTCCATGTTCCAAACGGTTTTTTTTCTTTTCTAACACAGCGAATAAAAAAAGGTGGCATATAAATATTAAAATCGCTTTGTGGATCGACTTTGGTACAGCCCTACTTTTGACATGAAAAATAAAACGACACTTAATGAAGTTTCAACAATTCTGTTTTCTTGTCTAAATACGAATTAGACAAAGAAAGTATTAATCCTTAATCCGGCACAGAATAAAGTACGAGAACGATAAAAGGAATTTTTATTTGTCATGATGATTTTTGTTTACTATTAGGTCAGTGACCTTAGGCCAATTTACCAAACAAAATAATCAATAATTAACAACAAAATACAGCAGGCTGGGGCTGCTACTGAACAAAGCAACACCCATTGAAGTCCCTGACACTGAGGGATTATTCAAAATAAACCAATAAACGGTTCCGAAAAGTAATCCGGAGTAAACTTTGTCCAGATTCACCCATAGAGAAATTGGTATCGAATCGAATAGGTACAGACACATAAAAATTATACTCGTGTTTTATTTCCCATAATCCATTTAGAAGAAAAATAACAATAATTTTAATAGTTAATTATGTATGTACCTATTTCAGTGCCGAAATTAAAAATGTGAAATTAAAACTCACAACACAACACTAGGTATTAGTAAAATGCAGGTAGAGCAACCTTCCCCGAACAATTTCCCATATTGCCTATTGGGTAGCAACTTCTAAAAATTTAGAGACACAAAATGAGTATTTAATTATGAACAATGAATGACATAATGGCCTTATGGGGTTATGCTCGGAGTTATGGTTTATTTCTTAATGGTTTGAGAATCGATTCTATATTCCGATACTAACAAATCTGTGGATTCGATATATCGATTTAGTTGTCTCCGCCAGGAAAAGTTTACACGAAATCGATGACATCTGGGCAACACTGGATGAAATTGACCAATCAGAAATTTGGTGCCGTGCGTGACGGAACCAAGAAATTTGAACTTTAAATCGCAATTTAGAGCCTTTCCAAGTCCGAAAAAAAAAAGCTTAATTTTGACTCCTCTTTTCAATAAGCAAATAAAAAAAAATCATGCAAGAAACCTATTTGTAAGCCATTCTGTATTCTACAACACTCTTGTTCCTCAAAGAAAGATAGCTAGCAGAAAAATTCCCATTTGGTTTTCTCAAGATCCTTATTAGCCTAACTAAACTTCCGAGGAAAAAATCGTCCATAAATTTTTTAGGACGTCACAATCTGATCTGATCTGATCCAATTTTCTCCTTTCTAAGCGTACACAGAATGCAAAAAATTATCTGCAGAATACTATAAAAACTACATTCAGCCTGTCGGTAGTGATCTCAACTGTGATTCTAAATGATTCTGAAATTTCATAAACTCCAAACTTTACCTACGAATTCATATCTAGATACTGATAAATGTGATATGGGTATTGATACAGCCAATCTGTTTGCAAAGTACTTCAACTCTGTTTGCTCCCAATTTCAACCAAACTATCAAGAAGAAATCTGAGATAACTATATCAAACTATAGCTGTATAACCTATATCGTTGAAATGGGGAAAAAATATATGATTTAATAAACTACCTATTATTATACAGGGTGTCTCAGATCAAAATATTATAAGTTTTTGTTATATTGAACCACAAAGTAAAACCAAATATTTGATGTATTTAACAGCCGTATTCATAGTCAATCGCCAGAGAGTCGCCGTGCGCTGGGCCAAATACGGCGACTCGCTGGCGATTGACTATGAATACGGCTGTAAGAGTTTTTATGGAAATACCATAATAACATAAGCAAATTACAGAATAGTTTAAACAAATTATACAGGGATGGGTATAAATAACCTGGCAGCCTTCAAGCTGAAATGCAGCTCTGACGTCTCCTCTCTATTGATTTCGAAAAGAGAGAAGAAGACAGCAAGTGCCATAACGATAGGGATAACGATCTGTATCTGTTACAGAGTTCCAGCCCAGGCGACTTATGCCCAAGCCCACCTCTGTATATCATTGGGAACGTAATTTCATGCACATTCTGAAAATATAAAAACTTACAGGGTGTCCCATTTAAAAAAGTTAAAGTTGTGTCATATTTCTTGAACAAAATATATATCGTACGAGCGTGCGCAAAGCGTGCACACAGTGCGGATAAGTTTTTTCTCCGTACTGAGTGCTGAAAAGTTAAACTATTTGTCAAGCGACAAAAAGTGCACCTGCCTGCCGACTTTGACGCATGTTGACAGATTTTTCCTCCCTTTCTGTCAGCAAACATCTATACAAACACCGAATACCTATGTTTTATATATTTTTTTAAATTTTGTGATATAAAGCTCGTAAGAAAAATATTGTTCCCAATACGAGCGCAAAGTCTCTTTCCCGCACTTGAAGCCTATTCAAACTCCGCTTCGCCTCATTCGTCTAACTGCTTTGGTGTGCGAGCGAGAAAGTACTTCTTTGCGCACATATTAAATTTTCTGATATCTTTTTTCATACGCGAGACAACTACTACCCTCAAAAAGTGAAAATTTCTAGTTTCACCCTGTATCTCCAAAACGAAAAGAGACAAAGATCTGCGGTTTGCGGCATTAGATTTGTCATAAAAAACTAACCCGGGAATATGATATAAAAAAATATATACTTCTACGAGTTTAGCCCATAACCTGGATTCCCATCTTCAATGAGACACTCTGTAAGCTCCAGTTTGAAATTATTGCAATTTCTAATTAGTAGGATAAACGTAGCTGCATAACATAGGCGGGGGTGCAACAGCTGGCGAAACGGTTTAAATTCTGAATAGGTTTTCGTAATGCTTCATTCAAGCCTGTAGCCAGAAGATCAATGCTGCAACCATTTAGCTGAGTCAATCTGGGGGGTCAGGGTGCAACAAATTAGCAACAAGCTGATTCCAGCGGGAATGTTTAGTAAGTGACCTCTTATTTAACCTCCCAAAAGTCCCATTCATTCCTAGGGGTGGAAGGTTGAAAAAAATGGCCGCCATCTTGGATTTTTTTGTTTTTTTCCAATATCAAAAACCGTTTTTGTGAAGAATTTAAATCTCTATAAAAAGTGTTTCTACGTTTTTTTTTGTAACATGAAGGATAACGGGGATATAGTTTTTTTTAGAATCTGATTTATAAATTTTTCACTTTTAGCGCTTGTTTTTGATAAAATGTGAAGTAAGTGCAGCTATTTAACAAATCATCCCATTATTAATGATTAAATTTAATGCCAATGACACAAACGCGTATTTTACCGCGCATTCCCTTACAGGACAAATATGGATCATGTGGAATCACCGCCACGCGATAAGTGGCGTTTCCAAATGGCCAGGGTGAATTATAACACATTGTTTTATAGTCTATCGTTTCTCAAATGAGACAAGGCAAAAATTGGGGTCTTCACAAATTATCGTATTACACCTTAAAATTATTATACTATTATTAGGCAAAATATATTGAGCGTGCCCGTATACATTGGATGCGAATCCATGTGTAAAGTAAACAATGCATCTTATTGGTTGTTTAATACAGTCAACGTTGACTCCAGGAATATCTTATTGGTTAGATTTTTTAGCGGCGTCTTTGGCGGCACATTTCTTTGAAGCGGCAATACGGGTGGAAGAAAAATAGGCAAGGTAACCTGATACCTTTACAATGTAAGGAAGCTGTAGTTCCCTCTGATCTACTAAAATTGATTTTTTGCAATTGCAAAGAAAGTAATTTCTCCGAAAACTGTTCATGTAGAAAACTCGAACTCAAGAGTTGAGTTTTCTTGAAAAAACTAATAGAAACTGAGATATTTGAAAAAAAACAAAAAAATCCAATATGGCGGCCATTTTTTTCAACCTTCCACCCCTAGGACTGAATGGGACTTTTGGGAGGTTAAATAAGAGGTCACTTACTAAACATTCCCGCTGGAATCAGCTTGTTTGTTGCTAATTTGTTGCACCCTGACCCCCCAGATTGACTCAGCTAAATGGTTGCAGCATTGATGTCCTTCCTGTCTACAGGCTTGAATAAAGCATTACGTAGACCTATTTAGACCGTTTCGCCAGCTT